GGGGGGTTCTGAGTGTGGGTGTGGCGGTGTTTTTTGGGGCATTTGCGGTGATTTGGGTTCAGATTCTGGTTCAGATTCGGGTGATTTGATGGATTTTCACCATCAACTGTTGCGGTAGGTAGGTGGATGTATATACTGCTTTCAGAGTCATTCCTCAGAGGAGTTCGGGTTCAGGTCCTGTAAGGTTTTCATTTTTTCAACGTGGCATTCCTGTGCTTCGTTGCTCGATGGTGGAGAAATCACCTGTGATTCGAAGCAAGATCCGCACTGTTAGTAGAGGTGGGGAAACGGATGATCCGAAACCTGAACAAAGACAGGCAACCGAACTCAGGGTTCACCAACCTGGTAGATCAACATGAGTGCCATGGCCCCCATGGTTCAGTGCAGGTTGGTGGTGCACCCGGGTGACCGGTCGCGAAGGCGAAGACTCGCTGAAGCGGATCCTGAGTGACGAGCTGGGCCTCGTCTCCGACGTCCAGATGGAGGTGCCATCCATGCGAATAGCCAGGGCGGAGCCCTTCCGCGCGGTTGAAGGGGTGGAGGAAAAGCATCGAAGAAAGCCATGGAAGACTGGGTGGAAAAATGGCCCAGAGGGCATGACCAACTTAAAGAAACCGGCCTACTCACTTGAGGGATTCTTATTTGGACCTACTGCGTTTTGATTTATGTGCAAATGAAGGAAGCATTGGAAGCATATCCATCCGCCATCCTGAGCCCATTCCGGCCGCTCTCTCAGGAGCAGACGGACTCTACCGGTACGATGTGCATGGTGGTTGGGGCACCAAGGTGGCAGCTGTGCCGGCCGACAGCGGCCGAGAGCTCGGCCGGCAGCTGTCTTTCAAGCGACCTGGGGTGCGACCAACTCCGTGGGCGGCTGCCCGGGGTCTTCCAAACACACCGTCCTAAGCAGGCAGGTCGGCAGGTCCAACATGTTTCAACCAAATCAATTGTTCTTCACATCTGGCAGTCGAGAGTTGGTGACGACTGGAGAACCACGGTGACGACTGGAGACTTGGAGACTGGTCAGCCGCAGAATTGGAAGCGCAAGTTGGGACTGGTTGGGACTGGACTTGCCATGATTTGTTGCAAGAGTTTTGATTTCATGATTTTGTTCACTGTTTTTTGGAACGTTGGAGTTGGAGAGACTGGAGAGTTGGGCCGCTTCATGATTTGTTGCGACTGGAGTTCACTGAGTTCACTGTTTTGCAGTGCCTGAACTTCACCAGGGTCTTGGAACGTTGCCCCACCCTCTTAAAAGAAGAGCTCGTCTACGGTCGGGCGGCTCATCGCGCCCGACTGTAGTGGTTCATGGCAAGGTCTTTGAGACCACCGATCTGGGGGCCAAGAAGCCTCAGGCCACGTCCGATTCCCGATTCGGACCGAACGACGGGCGGCTGGGTGGGAGCGGCCTGTGGGGTGCGTGGGTGTCGGGTGGGCATGGAGGCGTTCCGAAACCTCGAAAAAACGCGCCCTTCAAAAAGGAAGAAGCTCCAGAGACACCGTACATATAGAAAGGCGATGTCCTATTTTTGCCTCGAGAGGTCTCAGACTCAGACAGGTCCTCTCCACCCTACCGGAGGACTCTTCTATTGCAGTCACTTCAGGCAAAAAATGCATTGGCTTCAGACCGGAGGGGAACGTGGTTGCACTGCCGTTCCAAGCTCATTTGGGATGCCAAAGACGGCTCAGCCTGTTCCGGCTCCGATCGGGCGGGCGGAGGGCTTCTCTCGCGGTGCCAGGCCATCTTGGACGTCTTCTTCGCATACCTGGCCAGCATGCGCTCGCGCGGGGTGGACATGGAGCTCTACAAGAGCCTTCAGGTGGAGATCGTTGGAGCAGTTCCGGAAGACATGATGCAGCGAATGAGTGATCACTATTCCAATTCTTTGTTCGCACAGCTGAGGGGAACATGAGGTCATCATGAGGTGCCTTTTAAGGCAGGGCTTCTCTTTCTTCCACAGTTACCCTTTTCGGTAGCTTCTCTCCTTTGCAAAGCTTTGGGCAGGATATGGAGAAGCTGCAGTGGGATTGGAAGCAGGAAGAAGACGCCTTCGGGACTGCCCATGTGCAGCTCTTGGAAAAGTCCTCTGGCCGGGCCTTTAGTCGTAGTCATCGGCTCTATCTCTCACAGGTGTATACTGTATACCGCATGATGAGCCACAAAAAAGTAGAACAATAGTGCAGATGGAACATGACTCAGTGGACAGCACATGAGATATGTGAACTTGTGGAATCTTGTGGACTGGTTGTTGTGTGCTTCCCATTGCCTGTACTTGTAGCAGTCAATAAAGACTATCACCATTTGTTGAGAAAGGCCTTCCACCTCAGCATCATCATCCACTGGGCCCAGGGAATGGGATACACCCAGTTTCTGGCTGCACTTCTTCAAAAGCTTTGGCCACCCAAAAAACAACACCTCCCCTTTCAGTTCTTCTATGGATCCACTCCATCCGCAGGACTGTGTCCAACCTTGCCGAGGCTCGGGGGGGGGGTTCGTTCGGTCCCTGCAATTCCCGGCTGTGCCTGGTGACGGGTCTCCCGACGTGGCGGTTCGCAAAGAGGACGGGTCATGCCACACACATCCCCAAATGCAATGGAAAACCAGCAACGGAAGGCCTTGTGGTGATTTGTTGCTGTGCTTCCTTGTGGTGAAGTGCAGTGTTGTTTTAGATTCATCATGATTCATCAGCTTTTGTTCCTTCGAGTTTTCCAGCTGATCAGGTGGTAAAAACAACCGAGCGGATCGACCGCTGGGTGCGACCATCCGGTCCATACAAGCGCGACCACGCGCCTAGCCAGGAAGTCCTCGGTCGTTCAAGTCCAGCCAGCCACCCGTTGCAGTTCATGTGATGCTCGGTGCATCGTTCTTTTCCTTCTTTTTTCGGCGGCCCGGCGTGGTTCGAAACACCAGTGGAGATGACATCCCATGGATTTGACTGGGAAATCTTGATGTAGTGACGGCAGTTGATGAATGAAGACCTAAAACCATTCTGGATCAGAGGGCTTCGAGTCATCAACAGTTCAGATCTGGAGAAGCATAGGAGGACGCTCCGGCCACACCGAACGGGCAGGTGATGACCCGACTGCCGCACGAGAAGCTCCTCTCAGGCTGCCCACGGAGTGAACATCTAGAAGAGGAGCAGAAAAGTCACCAATTAGTCTACGTATGTCTACGTGGAAAGTGGTGGTTGCTCGTGAACGCACGAATTTCGCCCAGGACAATGCTGGCTCGATGTCTTTGGTCGACTATTAATTAATATGGGGTGCTTCTTGGTACTTATACTGTATACCTTCCTGCCAGACCTAAAGCAACGATTTTCAGTCTTGGATCCACAGCCAATAGATCCTCCCCATGGGCCAAGGAAAAAGAACCGCACCAGCCGTTCCCTGAATAGGATTTCGGGGACGTCTCACCAAGAAATGTCTCATGGCAGAAAGATAGATGCCAACTGGTTAGCTAAAACAACCTTAAACATCATTTCCCAGACACCCCCTGTATGGCATATTTACCTACATTGGGGTGGTTTCGGGGGTGAATGTATGCAAATATGCCATGCATGGAGTGTTCGGGTTTTGGTTTGTTTCAGATACCCTTTCGATTCAATGATGAGGTATGGTGATGACTTCCCCACTGCGAAACGCCCATGTTCCATTTTCGCCTCGGAGTCCGTAGGGAGGTCGTCTATTTGATCTATTTGAGATGGAACTGGTTCCACGACATGTTTTCTCAAGCGCTCTGGTGGTTTCAAACCTCTTTTGGGCGCCTTCGGCTTCGCCCCCGGCGAGGTGACAGCTTGATCGAGAAGCCGGACCGTTGGGGCGGTTGGGGGGTATCGACCCGGGGGGCATTGACCCGGGGGGCATCGGCGGACGTGGACTTGGAAGGTGCAGGAAAAACCTAGGCGTTCTTGGATCTCCTCTACAAGCTGGGCCTCTTCCACTTCGATGTTTGTTGGATAGGTATCCCTTTGAACAGGAGCTGGTAGTCCATAGCTGGGGGATGAGCTTCCAGGATTGATAGGGGTGTTGTCCTTCCTACACTCCCGGACCAAGGAGATCCAGGTCACCTCGAGCATCCTCGAGCAAGTCCACGGGGTGTTGTCCATGAATTAGAAGTAGCTTGATCTACCCTCTGACTCACTAACATGGAAGTGGAACATGGCCTCTTGGAAGACCATTTTCCTCTACAAACATGTTAGGTGAGTCGGAGTGTAGGTTGAACGGTGAACTGGTGAACTGCTTCGTAGGACCAGTCCTGGTTGCCGGACCGTCGAAGGGTGACCAGGTCTGTCCGTGTAGCTGCTACGTGCTGACAGTCCTGTCGACTCAGATATGGAAGATGTTTATAAACTACGGTCCCCCGTCTCCATGATCAGCTCGAGCAACTCATGGAGACTCAGCAGATACTCTGAGTTTGATGGCACACTTCGATTGATTGGACAAGAGAACAACGATTTTCTGGCCGAAATGTCCATGTGATGCCGTGAGACGGCGGTCGCATGGAAGACCCACCGCTGCATCAATGTTCCATGTGTTTCACTGTTTGACCGTGCATGGTGGGCCTTTGTTGAGAACATCATGGAAGTGGAACGACATTGCCACATGCACCTCTACAAAGATCCAAGATTGATCCAAGAACACTTTTCTTCCACAGTCACTAGGCCTTTTCAGCCTCCATGAGGTCAGTTTTGGTAGCCATCTCACCCTAGCTTAGCTTTCGCGATTCCCAGCACAAGAGACCTCCCTGTGGAAGCAGCTGTTTGAGCTCTCGAGAGGATCCTGAGCTGCTGAAAACCATACTGGATTTGGTGAGGTGTGGTGGGTGCTGCGGGTGCCTGCACGGCGGGGATGGGATTCCGAATGGATGGGCTCGCGGGTTAGCTGGCGAGTTGGTGCCCCTCAGCCTCCATTATAGCGTGAACACCGGCAGTGGGCCCTACAGTCAAATTCATTGTCATCCCAAAGGTCTGAAAAGAATTCGATCTTCGGCAGTCCAGCTGGAAAGCCTTCCAGCTGGTAGAACGTAAGTCCTACAAGGCGCAGCTCTCGGACTGAGACCCCGCGACCCGCCACGTCGACCGACCCGCCTGGCGCCGACCCGCCTGGCGAAGAAGCGCTGAAGAAGCGCGGTTAGGCCCACGAACATGAACATAGCACTGGTGGAGCCCTCTGGAGTGGGCTGGGAAGCCCGAGATCGCGGTGTTCAGCTGGGAATGAGATGAAGTGGAGGATGGAGGATGGATGAGCTACAGTGGTCTCAGAGTAGGTGGGGAAACCTTCCTAGGTTCTGTTCTTGTGCTTCTCCAAGGGTAGATGACTGGTGGAGTTCTTGAGAGGTAGGATGTCCGAAGAAAAATACATCGTCAGAAAGACACACCATCCAGGATACCATCCATGTGGCATGGCTTCAAGGCTTGCTTCTCCTTTTTCCCACACCTTTTTCGGTGGATCCAGCGCTCGGAGATGGCTCTGCTGGTCGGGCCAGGATGGCTGGAGGGCAAAGGATGGCGCACCCGAAAACACGGAAAACCAAATAGGACACCGAAACAGCTACAGCAAGATATGATTAGACATGTAAGTTCGACATGCACACACATTCTGATATGTACGGTACACAATTGTATACTGTATAATATGGTCACAAATGGACATGTTCACTCATGTCGTTGTCGCCTTTGTCGTTTAAATCACGTGGACCACGGGCGGCTCCTCCGTTGGGCACCGCGAGACCCGTGAAAAAGGTGGCGCGAGACCCGTTCAGGTGCCTTCAATGGCACGGTGCTCCAAGGATGTGAAGCTTGGAAAGGAGATCCTTATGGATCCTTATGGCTGATACTGCAGGATGCTGGAGCTATGAGAGAGGGTGGTGATCAAGTTCTCGCGGGCGAAGATCATGATCAAGAAACAATAGAGAGGAGCTGCGCCCATGGAAGAACGGCTGACGCTAAGTGGGTCAGCGTACTGCAAAAAGACAGATCACAATGGGTCAACCCCAATGTTTTTGAATCATTTCGAGCCCAATGGACACTGGGGTTGACCTTGGACACTGAAATGGACACTGCGTGCTACTCCAAATGATCCCTTGGACACTCTGAGGGCCTTTTGAATCATTTTGACCGCAGCTGCCGATTCGTGGTAGAGCTCCGTGGTAGAGCTCGGTGGTGCGGACCGCCCAGGTGACCAGCCGCTGAAGGCGTCCGGGAAGAAGATCAGGCGCAGAGCACCGTGAGGGACCATTGGTGAGGGAAGTTTGGGAGATTGGGATGGCTGGTGCCGCGAAGTAGCAGTTTCAGTAGGAGTAGGAGGGTTGTGGAGGTGGTGGTGGCGGCAGGAGCCGCAGGAGCAGCAGCAGCAGCAGCTGCTGCTGAGCAGGATTTCTGGCAACAAGGTCTGCAGGGCAGATGATTTTTCCTTTTTGAGGATTCTTGCTGTCGACGCGACGCTGTACGACGGGGATCCATTTTGCCCGAAGGAGAACTTCTATTGCACTTGCTGCCTGAGAGCCAGGGCTCACCTCGTGTCAAACCTCCCAAAATACTCCGAAGGAAGTGTCTCACCATGTGTCACCGTGAGGTTCTTGGGTCACCACCCTACCCGGGAACGCTATGCTGTCCATCCTTGCTCTGCCAGCTCCAGGCAGCTGGAATACTACGGCGCCGGAAGCCCGACATCCGGGAGGGGTTGGTGTGGCGAGGGCCCTTGAAGCGTGGGAAGTGAGCAGCAACGCCTCTTTTTCAGATTTGACCTTTGGATACCTTTTGATCGTTGTAGGCCAGTCGTTGGCACGCTGTTGTCCTACATCCTTTGGCAGTGCCTGGAATGGCCCAAGGCCAGCTTCGTCCAGGACTCTGTGGAGAAGGCGATGCACGGGCAAAGAGGATGGCCTGGAATATTTGTTTTTCTTTTTTGTGGATCCAACATCATCCAACAACGAGCCAACACATACACTGTATGTGCACGTGTGCCGGTTCCACCCTTCCAGAATTTTCGACTGCCATTTGTTGCCCATCCGCGGGGGGCAACCCGTACGTAAGAACACCTCCAACACCCCCACATCCACACCCACCGCGCGCCTTGGCGCTCGCAGGTCTTCCCTCACCTCACGTCTTGGAGCTCTTGGATGGGCCCGGCTCGGGAGCGTCCGTGGAGTGCCGACCCGACCCCCAACCGCGCACGACCTGAACAGCAGACCTGACCCCCAACGCAGACCTGGCTGGAACAGCAGAGACTTCATGAAACGTGTGGGGTTTTGATCGCGCATGGAGCTTTTTCAGGCACCAAATGTGAGTACCAAGCAATGAATCCTGCGCAGCTGTTTTCCTGTCCAATGCGAGTGCTTGTTCTCAACAACAACTGTTCTGTGGGGATTCGCGATGTGGATCTTGACCCAGTTCGCTATGTGAGCCTTTGTTACCATCCCCTTTTGCAGGTTTTATGGATGAGTTTGAGTTTCCTGCACCTCCCAGTGTGGAGACAATCCCCAAAAGCAGTACTTCAACACTGTGAAGATGTGGAAGGAACATGAAGGAACTTCATTTATACACGTCACATACCCATCACGACACCTAAACTGGCAGGAGAAGCAATCGTGTTTTGGGGGGGGGGGGCAGGGCGTGCCAGAAATCCTCGCAGGCATGGAGAAGAGCCAAGTGACAGCAGAATTGAAAGACTACTTGAAAGCCTTGGCCTCAACTTGGAATAGCCTCGGACCTACGGAGTAAAAACTTGAATGAGGAACTGCTATTCCCAATCATATGTTTCAAATGGTATTTTTTTCCTGTGTGATTTTGGACATATTTTTAAAAGAATCATTGCAAATTGATTTAGTGAGCCGGCTCATTCCGCGTTTATGTTTTGTTTTTAAAATATTTTCCATATTTTAATATTGTCAATCGATTTGCGCGTGTCTTTGGACATGTTTTTTGTTTGCAAATTGAGCATGATCAAGCACTGAATCCATGGGCAACATGTATGCCGCAGATTTTTTGGCGACCAGCACCGCCAAAAACGCAGGCGTATTAGGCGCCTGGTAGGTTTTTCTCGGGTTACCCGCAGTGACCGCTTCCTCTTGCCCAAAGGACCGATGGGTTTCCGTGGGTGGCCACTGTTTGGGGAGGGATGCTGGTTGAAGAAAGCTTCAACAGAGTGGCGTCCAAATTGTTATATATGATTAGATAAGTCGTTTCACATCTCAACGGACCAAGAACCAAGAGAGATCCTCACTTCATGTTGGGCGACCCTTGGAAAGATGATTGATCATATTGATTCCGATGTTGTGGTTATGTTACAACCGCATGTTTGACGCTCCTACTGGTGGAGTCCTGACTTGCATGGAAAAACAGGGACCAACAAGTTGCTCGTGGACATCTCAAATGATCCATTTGGTCGGTGATATCTAGTCGCAGTTAGTTGGTTGAACTTGAACGCAAAGGTTGGAGGTCGCTGGTTGGAGAATGATGCTTGGAACAACATCATTAGCTGTATTTGTTTGAGGAACATTTGCACATCAAACCTGCCATCAAAGTTCAAACCTGCCAAAGTTCAGGATTGCTCGGAATCCACGGGGTTTTCACCCAAGCCTTGACTGGACCCTCAGTTCGCTTGCCCCGGGTACGCAGGCGTCTAGCTGCTCGCTACAAGTAGCTCTTTAAGGAACCGGCCACCGAAGACCGGTTTTCCTTTGGCTCGATGGGAGAAAACTGACGACGTCACCGGGCCGCGTGGCGGGTGACACGTCACGGCAGAGGATGGCTTCCAAGAAGTGCGGTGCGGCCATTGGCCTGGCAGGTGTGACGGGATTTGGGAGGGGTCTTCGGTACCATCGGACCATCGGACGAACGCACGAAGACATGGATGAAGCCAAATGGCCAGCGCGACCATCGGTTTGCGCAAGGCCAACGGGGGATTGGGAGGTCTGAAGATTTTGGTAGCAGTTTCTTGGGTTGTCTTGGGTGAATTTCTGATTCTTCATCAGGGATCAGAAAACAGAGGTTACATGAGGTTACTGTATTGCTCTCTCATTGACTTGTGAAGGCTTCACTGAAGGCCACCACCTTGAGGTACAAGGAAGGCCACCACCTTCCTTCTGTCGTTGGGTGGGTGGTGTGGTGAACTACAAAGAGCGTTTGGTTTCGGTGGGTGCGAAAACATGATGACATGCCTTTCTTCTTGGCCCGTCATTCATTTACTGTAAATTTTACACCTATACCCATGGTACCTCATGATACGACTCACATTTGGTCAGACCCATCGTCATTTCATGTGAACCAGCGATCGAGTGACAGGTGCGGCTGCAAGCACGGCGTTTATTGCTGGCACAGGCGTGGCAATCTGACTTTGGTCGAGGGGCACTCACTAAGGTAATTAGTTTGTTTGGGGAGCACTGCATAATCTCCGCCGCTTGCGAGTCCACGGAAAACTCCAAAAGCTGCCACTTGCGGGTCCATTTTCCCTTTGACCAATAGAGGTGCTTGACCTGGAGGCCGAAATCGATGACCAGAAAGAACCAGAAACCCGCTTCGACGTCTGGTGGACTTGGATGTTGAAGGGAACATGGATCGATCATCGATCCCCAGCGCTGGAAAATGGGTGTCCTGCAGAAGTCATCGTTCGGCTCGTCCGTTCATTGGTTTAGCTGCTGGAGCCCAATCAGATCGATTCCGAACTCGGTGTGCTCTCGGGTTCTGCACCCTGAGTTCGCCCCGAGAGCGAACTCTCCATCCGGCAGGCTCCAGCAAGTCCAGCTCCTTGCGGGGCGTTAAGACTCACCAGGCCATCGTGGCCATTCACCTTGTTCTTCGGGTGGTGGGGTGGCAGGCTTCTGTGAGGTTTGTCCTTGTTCGTTTTTGACCTGCTAAGGAAATTTCCGTTTCGCACACAGAAGGGGGGTGCTTTGTTGCTTCCAGAGGGTAGATACTTCCACAGGTGGGGGGGCAGGGCGGGCCCAAAATTGGCCAGCTGGCCAAGGGAGGGGTCATGGAGCAACCCTGCGCTCTCGACTTAGCAGCATACGCTTAGCATCCATCACACTGCTTGAACGTTTTTCACTCCATGCTGGGGTTCAAAGGTACAGTGGTTGAAAGGTCCTAGATGGTCCTAGTTACCATAATTGGTCTAGTTTGGTTGTCCGATCTTTTCCCGATCATTCATCCAGTAGCAACATGTCGTGCAGTAAGGCCTCTCAACTTACTGCACACTTTCCTTTGAAGACTATATAAATATATTATATGTAGTACATGTATACTGTATATACAAAATTAAACTTATACTTATTACTTTATTGACTTTATGCACACATGTCACGTGCCTGACTCAAAGCTCTCACCCGAAAAGGACTATCTCCCCACCTGCTTCCATGACTCCCTTTTCCTAGCGCCACGCGAACAGGCAGCGCCCTCCGCGCCTTCCGCGCCCTCCGCGTCCACTGCCTCCTATGCGGCGGCTTCCGTGCTAGCTGCCAGCGTGGGCGCCGTGATGGCCCGCCGCCCCGTGAGCAGCTTCAGCCAGACCACCGTCACCGCACTGAAGGCGCTGGAACCGGGCACGTGAAGCGGGAGGAGAGACGGGTTCAGTTTGTCGACTGGGTCCACTTTGAAGCTACAGTGTAGAAAGTTGGAGAAGGCATACCAGGATCCTTGGCAGAAAGTACTGACAGTTTTTGCCAAACACTTCGATCCATAGATCACCATTGAGCCGATCTTTTACTCCAAACACCATCCCGCGACTTGGCCAGGCATTCGAGCAGGACCCAGCGAGAACACCGGCACTGGGTGGGTTGAAAGAGGTCGTGGGGATCCGCAGGTCCCCAAAAGTGAACTGCCTCGATCGATGATTCTACAGCTGGGCTGAGGGCGGGTCTGAGATGGACACTAGTTTTGGAGGCCGTTCCGAGCATGTCAAGTCCGAAACCCTCCAGAAGCAGAACCATCTAAAAGGTCCGGCCATCTGTTGCCTCGTGGACGAACGGATGGACCATCGATTTGGCACGGGCGCCTCCCGTGGAGGAGTTGGGCGTGCAGCCTCCCGTGGGCTACTGGGACCCGGCTGGCCTAGCCCGGGACGGCGACGTGGAGGCCGTGGGGGCGGGGAGTTGTGGGGAACTGGTCTCCGGGCACACCTTCAAATTGGTCGTGGGATGGATCACACATACCCAACGTTGGAAGATGGGTGTCCGACGAGGCCACAATCAAGTATCATAAGTCATGTAGGGGCCTGTAGGGGTTGTCCACCCAGTACACGCCTGGTAGTACCCCTGGTAGGTCCTGGTTAGGTGTTGAGAATTCTTGTGTATATCAAGTTATTGTGAATTGATATATACAAAATGGTATAGAATCAAGTTCTTGTGTATATCATCCAAAAGGTCTTGTGTGCGGTTCTTCTTCGGGTCTTTTGGATGTCCGGACTCGACGGCCACCGCCTCAGACGAGCCAGAGATCCACCGAGGGTCGACCAGTCGACCTGGTTTGAACGTCTTCCTTAGAGGTTGCGTTAGCCTCTTTATTTGATCCTTCTGTCAGGGAGCTATTCCCTTTCCAAGAGCTATTTCCATACAGAAATAAACACCCATACAGAACATGAGGGATGGCCCGGGATGGCTGAAACCATCAGGCCAAACAACGATATCAGATCAACAGTACCTGGCCCGGCCCCTCCACTGGACCGACCGCCGCGTCGGGTTTTCACGCCGACCACCGCCGACCACCGGCGCGAACGCCCGTTCGTTCGAACGCCGCCGTCGCAGGCCTTCCAGCGTCGTCGCTCCGTCGAGCTGAAGCACGGGAGGCGCGGTCCAGCCGCGTGGAACTCGGCGGATCCGTTCCTCCGTGGATCGGTGAAGGGGGGAAGGGGGGAAGCTGTGGGTGCCGCTGGGGCGCTTCAGCAACTGCTGAAGCGCCCGGCTGACATGGTGCAGTATTTCGGAGGTGATGTAGATGTAGTTGCAGATGTGTGCCCCAGAGTCCAAAGTGGTCTCTCAACTGTGCTTCGTGCCCCTCCATTCATGTAGAACGACCCGACTCCGAAGGCGCGTTCGGGGGGTGCGTTCCATGGATGAAAATCCCTTCAGGGAGAGAGGCTTTACCCAGTCACACCCAGAAAATCTGTATGAAATCAACGGTACGTTATATAAGTGTTTTGAGTCGGATTTCCCGCCCGGGCGACCTGAGTGATGTGATGAGAGACCTTTTTCATATAAGACTTAAAGAAGTGGTGATTCGGGTCGGAGGTCTGGATCCTGCTTTTCAGCTCTTGGACCGAAGCAGATCTGTCATAGTTCCGAACGGATGGTGAACGGTAGCTGCAACATGCTGCAACTCCACCTATGGAATCCATGGTTTCGCCAGTTGATTTGCACTCCCCACATGCCCACCACCATTCGAACCGCGCGGGTAGCGCCAGGATTGCCATGCTGGCCACCATGGGTTCCCTGGCGTCACGCATAGCAGCAGCTAGTGGTGGACCGGGTTTCATCAGCCAACTGAAACCACAGGAGTAAAAGCTGCCTGCGGTTCTATGAAGCTGCGAATCCAGGATTGACAGAAATTTGAAATGACTTAATACATTAAGCATTTGTCCATTCTAGGCAAACTGTCAAACTCCAGTCCTTGCTGTCCACATGCTGTCCACGTCAACGTGTTCAGATTGCTACGATCTGGTCGTCTCAGCAATTCACCCAAGCTCCATTCAGCAGGTGCCTGAATTTGTTGGGGGAATGCAGGCACACCTACTACAAGGAGTAAGTTTAAATATACGTTTAACTGTTTGACCGTTAAACTCTCCCACTCATGCCACCCCATCGAGGCTACATCACCCCCGAGATCGCGGGCAAGTTCCCGGGCTACCTGAGCCCCAGCGCCGGGCTGAAGTTCGCGGACGTGCCTAACGGCCTGGCGGCCATCTCCAAGGCCGTTTGGGGGCATGTTTGGGCTATGGATTTTGCGTCGAATTTTTCCAGACGAGTCGTAAGGAGTTTTTCACATGATCTTGGATGGAACCTTTTTGCATTCGTTTTTGCAATCATTTTGAAACTGCTGCTGTCGCCAAGAGAGTTCTTTGTGTTTTGCGGATGGTGGACACCAAGCTTCGGTTTTAGTTATGGTGAAGTGAAAGTTGATTTTGGCCTGGGATGTGCTCAATTGGACACCTTCTACGAAGGTGGTCTCGCCGTGCAGGTGCCTGCGGGTGGCTGGACTCAGATTTTGCTCTACATGGGCTGGTGCGAGGTGAGCCGTGGCCCAGGCTCCGACATTGCCAGCGGACGCCCAGGCCGCGCGGCGCGTGGGAGGGTGGGTCGTTAGGGTTTGAACCTGTGGATACGAGCCGTTTTTATTGTGCGTATGCATTTATATTGTGTTTTTATGCGTTTTAGTCGTGGGACAACTGCAAGTACCTTTCCATATTTTTGCCATCATGTCCATTCTGACCCTTTTTTCTTTCACGACTTGCCAGCCGCACCGCCAGGTGACTTCGGCTGGTATGTGCTGACGCCTGGCTGCACCGAGTTCCGCCGGAGCTGTTTTTTTTTTTTTTTTTTTTTTTTTTTTTTTCGCAGGTCCTAAGGTGGCGCATTTGTGTTTGACCACAAATCAACCCAACATCATCATACTGTACCTTTCACAAGACCCGTGGGTGGACTTATCTTCATGTAACATAGCTTAACCCGGCACAACCATAGCATAACCATATCAAAACCCTTGAATTCATAAATGATCATACAGACATGTTAGACCTATTTTCTTTGCCAACTACTTGATTTAGCTTCATGTTCCCGTCCCATCCTCCGGGGTCCCGTTCGAGATCGGATCGGGGAACTTCCCAGGAGCTCCGCCGATCCTGAGACCAAGAAGAAGAAGCAGCCTGGCCATTGGTGTTCAGAAGTGATCTGGGCTGTAGGTGTATGGACAGTATGGTGCTTTTTCTGTTGTGGAACAGATTTGTTCATTTGGCCATACACAATGATACAATATATACATATATATATATATACACGATATGACATATAAAATATTGTTTTAATTATATAATATATTATCTATGGATTATATATATATGTAATGAATTGCGACATAGTGACATAGTATGAACGACTCCGTTCACAAGTCCGCTGTGGCCAGGAGTCTCTATTGAGGGGCAATACCGTACCCTAGGATTCGAACCGCCATTGATTTACTAGCTTTTAGCGAACAACCGTTGTTTTATTAATGACTCGAAATTCACACAACAAAACCAGGTCAGGTCACCCATTTGTCAAGGGTTTTTGAAAGATCATTGTTTTTTTTTCCCGGGCTCCAACTCGCTCTCTGAGGCTCTCCGCCGAGCTTGCCAACGGGCGCCTGGCCATGTGCCCTGGCCAGATCAAGACGTTTCCAATCTGAGTCAGTTCCGTTTTTGGTAATTTTTTCTCCCGCAATATTTTTCTCTTTTTCCGAGTCCTGAGAACATAGAGATGATACCCCCAAAATGATCCAAGGATACTGAACAGAGCCATGACCCTTAGAGTTCTCGACTTGCTGCTTTGGACTGTCGACAGAGGTCATGTTGGTGATTCTAGGTCTCTATCCTACTTGGTTTTTCAAGAACTTGAAGAGCTCTTGCGACCCCAGGTGAATCGAAGCGAAGACCTTTGAAGCATTCATACTATACTCGCAACTGAAACTCCTGAAACGAAAGAACACACGCTATTGTACCGTTGCACATTGGTTCCAAAAGGTTAAAGGCTCCCCCCAAAAATTTTTGGAAGTGAGGCTGTGCGGTGTTCATCCTCAGTTGCGAAATGGATCCTTCTTCGGCTCATGGATCCTGATTCGCAGGATGGGTCCGTTCAGAACGCTACGAAAACGTTTTGGCACCTTCTCCGGGTGTGCCCCCTTGGCCCGTCCCGGCTGGTCCACGGCTGGTGACCGTGGTCCATCCGGCCGTCGCTCAGGATGGCCATCATCGGCATGTTCTACCAAGACGGCTTGACAGGCGGAGCCCCACCTCGGGTCATGCCATTGGTGGGGCCTGCACGAGGGTAACCCATGGTTTGGAGGGGAGAAAGACCATGAAAGACTCATCTTCCAGGGACAACAACGTTACAATAATATACACCAAATAAATGATGTCTCTGAAAGGAGGTCCTCTCATGGCAGGCTCCGCTTGGGGCGACTGGTCCAACTTCACCGACAGCCCATTGAGGGCCTTTGAGAACGAGACAGGCGCCGGCACCTAGCAAGACTCGTGTGGTTCGTCATGCTTTGTCGCAGCAGTTGAGGAACTGAGTTGCCTCAACAGCATTTTTTGGCTCGCAGGTTGTAGGTCCTAGGTTTTGAAAAAGGGTGGGTGAAAGAGGGGACAAACATGGGATGAGCTGTTGTAAATTACTCCTTGTTGCAGATGTTGTTTTGTCGATGAACCACAATAAGAAGTATTTCGTGCATTGCTCTCTTTCTCTCCTTTCGAAGATCTCCACAAATCAGTTGGTAGATGTTCGTAGAGAGGACAACAGATAGCAAGAACTCCAAACTCCTCCCTCGAGTCGTCGCGATAGCTGCAACCCCGTTCAGACGTCGGCAACGCGATAGCTGCCCGAGTGCCACGCGCGACACTCCTCGCCCGGTCTCCCCATCACCGTTCCCAAGGTGTTCAGCCTCCCGTGGGCTTCTGGGACCCTTTGGGGCTTTCCGTCTCTGGCAGCCTGGACGCAGTCCGTCGGTTTTCTGGAAGACAAAGACATACTTTCAAGGATCCGACATGCCCAGGCATGCCGGATTTATTCAGCATGTTTTCTTGATATGACATATTAAATATACACAATAGCATACAATAGCCCCCTTGTATATACTCGTACATATATTAGAATCTATTAATACAAATGTTTAATTGCTTTTCATGGTGTTTCTGAGTATCCAGGCATCCAATGGTGGATCGTGTTTTCGCCAAAGAGTCGGAGTACCATGACTCAATTGAATCAAGTCCCAAAGCCAGCGCCAAATCGGCTAAGACGGCCACAGTTGATGCAGTTGCCGGGGCTTCGACCTGCCGTGTCCTGACCAAGGCAACCAGTCGGACTACAAGCGCCGACGCGAAGTGGAGCTGAAGCACGGTAGGGTGGCCATGCGTCTCAGAGGAAATTTTCGGAGTTTGGTGCTCTGTTGGGTTCAAAAGCCTTCTGGGACGAGGGAGAAGGGGGATTAGACCCACAGCTGTTTAGGCATTTGGATATTGATATGGCCCAGAGCCCATAGCGCAAACATTGAATGAAGGATGGGAAGAAATCCTTACATCAGGCTTGGCAAGCTTCGAACATGGGCCAAAGCCTATATGCACAACAAACCGGGTCCCTCCAAATCATGTCACTTGCCAACATTTGCGGGATAAACCACCTGATTTGGGTCTCCCATTCCCAATACAGTTTGTATACTGTAATTGTCCTCGATTGTTTCTCGGATCAACGATTGGTGAGCTATATATATATATACATAGAGTAAAGTGAATAGTGGGAATGTACCCTAAACCCTAAAGCCCCCTGGATCATCATGAATCAAGGCAGCCTACAATACACAAAAACATGCAAAAAATACAATCCTGAAAACCACTCCAATGAAACCACTCTCCCAGAACCCTCCAGAACCCTCCAAAATCCCTGGTCTCATCATGAATTGCTTTGTTTTGGTTATTCCATGTCCAATAAAGGAACGCCACATCACCACAGCTTGCGCTGTCGGGATCAGGGGGTGGTTCAATTAGGAACTCGTGCCACTTGGGGGCGGGTATACCACCATCCTGGGTTTGGAGTGCTTCAGTGTCAGATATATAATGATGTATACGATCTCCCCAAGACTCCAATCCTTCCTTTCAGCAACTGTTCGTGGAATTTTCCGCTGCTTAGAGAATGCAAAAAACCTCGACGACCATGACCGAATGGACCCTGGGCCCTGGGAGCCGAAAAAGAACCCATGTGCTTTTGGCCTGAAAAACACCCCCAAAACAGCCAAGCCCGTCACATCAGTATACATCGCTTCTACACCTGACATGTGGCCGAAAAATCTGAGGTTCGCCACCATTGGCTACATCCTCCCGGAGTACTGGCACTTCCCCGGATATTTGTCCAAGTTCCTGGACTCTCGGCGCGTGCCGGGCACCGGAGGGCCGGGCGGGCCGTCGGACGAGGTGACAGCCGGTGACACGGTGATTCCTTGAGTTGGGGGAAGTGGAGCAGTTTTTCTTCGCCGGTATCATGTACTAGACCTGAAGAAGTCGATCTTAGAAGAAACTGCGATCTTAGCCGCTCTCAGAAGCACATTGGAGGCACGATCGCTAGGTTCCACATCCATCTGCACCATGACGACGCTTTTCGCGCCAATTTCCAAACCTCTCACCCACAGCCACACACCTCCTAGAAATCGGAGCCCCTCTGGGCGCTTCACGTCGATCGTTTTCGACCGCTGCTTCCGGTCGATCGGTCAACGACGATCGGTTCGACGGTGAGATCCTGAGGACATCAAGTTTGCAGATGTGCCCAACGGCCTCGCGGCCTTCTCCAAGGTGCCCGCCCTGGGATGGCTGCTTGAACGAACACGCGAGACGCGAGACGCCGATCGTTGGCTTTTGGTCTTCGATCGCGGGTTTTGGGTGTGTATCCGACTGATGACTTGAGTCATCTGGGGCTGCAGTCAGGGGGAGAATACCCATAACGGATTCATGAGATGATATGAGATGGTATGAGATTCATGGAACTCTCTGTTGCGATTGGGTCGTCTCTAAGACGACCTAACCTGAGGGGACGAGGCCTTCGGAATTCGGGACAAGGAAGCACCATCCAAGGCTGCAGATCGTCGGCTTCGCCGGCATCGTGGAGCTCAACGCTGCTTGGAGGGCAGAGCAGCGTTCGCGCTGGGGATGCACAAAGGAGGGAAAGGAGGGA